CCCCAAAACCCCAAAACCCCAAAACCCCAAAACCCCAAAACCCCTAGACAAAATTTAAAATTGTTTCATATAATTTCAAATTTAAATGAGGGGAGGCAAAGCAAGGACAAGGACTTCCACAGCAGGCAAGGATATCACTGGAGATTTCTCAAACTTAGGTAAGTATCCAAATACTCTAAAATTGCCGATATCACCAGAATGGAATTAACAAGTTTATAGGAATTGCAGGTAAAGCTCTAGGAGGCAGACCAACAAAGACACCTACGCACCCTATTACTCTTCGCGGCCAAGATAAGAAAATGAACCCAGTCATCGGAGTCAACCCTAATAAGAATGTTGAAGACGAATATATTCACAATTTGCAACAGCAAATGCATTTCATGGAACTGGAAATCAAACTTCTCAAAGAAAAGGTTATTGAAGACGATGAAGCTAGCGGAATCGGGTCTCTGTTCAATGACGAGAAGTACAGCGAAATGAGGACTGAGTACCTCAAGAAAATTGAAGATATTGAAAAAGAAAGGATCCGAATCTCTGAAGAAGCTTTTATTTTGGATGCACAAATTAATATTCTCTCTGGTCAAAATAATAAGTTATCTGACATCAGAGACAAGGTAGAAGACACCAGAAAAGCCAAAATTAGGGAGCTTAAAGACAGGCTCTTTCACTTGCTAAAAGAAAGAGAAAGTTTGGAGAAAGAGTTAATTGCGATGAACAGAGACTTTGCTGTTCAATCCAAGAATAGTTATGATTATAATATTCAGCTCAAGAATGAAGAGGAAGATGATGCCCACGCTAAATATAGGCATGACAGAGACCTAGCTCAGGCTGAAGAAAGGTACAATCAAAAACTAGAAGCTCTCGACAAAGTCAACGCTGCTCTTGATGATATCCAGAAGCAGTTCGAAGCCAACCCTGAATACCAGGCCAATCAGGAGACGATCGACAAAGCCATCGAAGATGCCAAGAGCATGTATGTTGAAATGAACTTGCTCAAGAGGCAGGTGGAAGAGATGAAGCAGGCAGCTGAGCTTTACAAACAGGCTGTTGAAGATGAGAAGAACCGCAAGAGAAGACTCATAGACATTAACAAAAACTTAAAAGCCGAATCAGAGGCCAAGCAGCAGACTGAAAGAATGAGGATGCAAAAACTAATGAACGAAACCAAAGACCCTGAACTCAGAGAGTACATGCTTAATAGCCAGAAGATCTCTGGTTCGATAGCTGACTTGGAAGACAACCTTGACAACGAGAAAGACAAGTACGATAATTTACAGAACGAAAGGGTGGTCCTGGACAGGAAGACTCTTGAACTTAATGAAGAGTTAGACAAAAACAAAGGAGTCAAAGAGGGACATGACGCAGCTATTCCTGAGTTGAAGACTCAAGTCAAAGACCTTGAAGCAGAAGTCGCTGAGCTTGAGAAACAGCAAAATGCAGGAATCACTTTGAACAAAGAAGTCGAAGGAAAATACAGAAGACTGGCGTGATCCAACTTAGCTTTGAAAGCTAAGCTTCACTTTTTATTGTCAAAGGTTGACTACTCTGACAGTGTCAAGGGTCTGAATTTGGAAGACTTCAGAAATTTGGTGAGCTCAAACACAAATGTCAATGAGAGTATTGCAAACTTTGTGGAGAGACTTACAGCAACGAAGGATGAAATCTACAGGTTTGAAACTGAGGTGGAGGCCAAGGGAGGCACTATCTAAGTGAGATCAACTATTTCAATTTTATAATAATTGATCGGGGTTTTGGGGTTTTGGGGTTTTGGGGTTTTGGGG